ACGGAACTTGACGGGATGTTGGCTTCATAGCAGATAGGTTTATGAGGATTATTAGCCAACCATACCTTGTTATCCGTATATGCCACGGATTATGCGTGTGCCCGACACGCCAATCGTCCAATCATGAACAGTTTAGGAATATTGACCAATAAGTCAACAAAACCATGTCGGATGACCAATAGGGTGGTCAAAATGGTCGGATAAATGTCGGATGTATAGTTTATGTGTATATAAGGCATTTTGATCATTTTTCGCTCTTATATAAGGCTTATATAAAGTGTCCCCTTTTAGCTAAATATATTTATTCTAGAACTGCGAAACGTATTCATTGGATCATTGGTTAGTCCAAGTTGGGGGACGCCGGCGCAAGTACGTATTCATCTATTATTTTTAGGCAAGCATAAGTGCGAGGCATAATGACTATTGCAGATTAAACCACTTTGAATGAAATAGATTCCAGGTGTACTCCGACGTTCGAAGAAATTAAAACTTCGAATCCACATTGATTGCTGGTTTGGCCACATTGAACGGGCAATGGTGTAGAGCAGGTCGGGGATGTCAGATGCCGCAACGTGTTCAACGATCGCGCCGGCATCCACCTAGGTAACATCGTTGGCCCGTTGGGGGAAGGACGGGGCAAAACGAACTTCGGCTTCACTGACAACGGCGGGTTTGATCGTGTCATCGACGATTCTTTGCGGGAACGTTGCCTTGCCCAGCATGCTGTAAACAATGTCCGCGCCGCGTCAAACGATACCTCCATCGAGGTGACCGATGCCGCGCCCATGGTGATAGTGTTGGACTGATACTTACGTTGGGTGGCTTGCACCTTGGCCTCAGGGCCCGGGTCGTACAACAGAATGCGAATCGTCTCTGAATACGCAGTCGCAGGCCGCCGATGTGGGGGCATCGTGGTGCATACTTTAGTTGATTTGTCATGTGTAAACAGAAACTACCCTTCAAGTATTGTAGTTTCCATTATAAAAATATGCAAGGCCCTTCATCATTGCTGTCCCTCGAAAGACAATTAAGTATCAATTTTAAAGGAACGACATGAGGGCCATTTGGCGGGAAAACGCATTTGTAAATCACTCATGGCTCAGCCTGGCACCAAAACACCTCACAGAAATGCTACCGGAAGACCATCCGTCAAAAACTGCCACCGAAGTGGTCCACCACAGCATAAGCGATTGTACATCAGCTATGCGAAGCAGCTCCACATCATCAACTGGCGCAAGCAGCACTCAATGGAATCGGCGTTGGACACGTTCTTCTGCGGTGCCCAGGGCGTAGCTCGTAGATCAGCACAAAAACGCACCATTCGATGGGAAAAAAGTCGACCGCATATGACCAACATGGCAAAACATCCATCAACGTCCACCTAAAAGTTGGGACGGCAACTACTCTTTCAAGAGAGCATGAAGAACTAGTCGCGCATTGGGTACAAGAACTTCGATCCCAAGGCATCCTGTTAGCAGGTTTTTGCTGCAATGTAAAGCTCTAGAAATGGCTAAGACGTTGGACTAAGCCCCACTCAGTCAAAGCAAGTATGTATTCTTGGATTACGGGATCTACAAAGGGGTTGGAAGCTAGCGATGCGAAGAAAGACGAGATCCGAGCAAGCTAGCCTGGCGCAAGGCGACGCAGCCTTGGCAGAGTTCAGTAAACGAGTCCGACAACTTATTCAAGATTAAGAACATTACCGAGATCTACAATGCTGATCAAACCGGCATCAACTTCGAGTACATACCGAACCAAACCATTGACAAGTGTGGAGCGAAGACCGTTTGGGTGCGATGCGCCGGCAACGAGAAAGATCGAATGACAGCAAAGGTGCTGGGCGACACCAAGGTGAACAAATATTCCTTGTTCTTAGTCCTAAAGTCAAAAGAGTCAACAATCAAGGCGAAAGTGGTTGAAAACCTTACCCTGCGAAATGGGTTGGTGACCACGAGTGTAGCCCGAAATTGAAGAGCTGCACGAACGACACCCGGTTTCCGCTTGTTTGGCAATCCTACGGCATGGTGGAACAGTGAGATTTCCAAACAGTTCCTTCACTACCACTTCGGCCATCGCAAAGGCAAAGATGTGAACGCGATCCTACTCTTGTGGGACGATTTTAGTGCACATTTCAGCGAAGACGTCATCGAGTGCGCAAACACAATGAATATTGTGCTCGAGAAGACTCCACCTACCTTCACTTGGATGTGCCAGCCAGCCGATGTTGCTTGGATGAAGCCTCTTAAGGTGACAGTGCGCTTGAAGTGGGTGACCTACATGCACCATGAGATCCAAGATCAAGGGAAGAATGAAACATTCAAGCTTCGCCCACCCGGCCGCGAGCAGCTCGTTGAATGGGTAAACGAAGCGTGGGAATCGTTGCCGCGGTCTACAATCATTCGTGGGTTCGAAAAGTGCAACATCATTGATGCCATACCAAGCAACACCTCCGAGGCTCTACTCGAAGACCGTTCAGAAGACATTGATTCTATCATTCACATCATGAGAATTGGAGGCAAGCCTGTCGTAGAGTTGGATGATACCTCCGACTTGACGGACACCTGCGGCCAGCTTGAATACAATCCCAATCCTAATCAATAATTGCATGATTCATTTCCATGGTGTTGATCGTTGCATTGGTGTCATACCTGGTCAGCAAAGAAGACAACATAGACCTCATCGCCTGGCACACCCATAAACAGAGACAAACGCCGGTATCCGGCGCAGCAAATCAATGGGCTAGGCCGAGGCGGTCCCACGACTACTGCGCGTGGTCCTTTTGATATTGCTCCCAATGGGGCCCGACGTCCTGAAGGATCCATGGGGTCTCGTCGTTGGCTGCTTGGGGGCCACAGCATATCCGGATCCCGTATCCGGATGATGTCGAGAAGTCGAATTGAAAAGTGAGGAAGTCGTCGGATTCACTGTTGTGCGTTCTCTTGACTACATCAGCATTAACGAACAGTCATAACTCAAAAAACGATAAATTGCGGAATTTCATGTATCTACTTTTGCGCATCATATCTACCCACGTTACAAAACCATGCTAAACTTAAAGTCTCTATGCATTTGATTTTCTATTCTTCGCCGACGATAATATTACCGAGTGATTCTGTTTCTCTGCCATTTGCCTTGTCACTTTTTTTCACACATGACAAATCAGCTAAAGTATTGTACTGTTGGTAGTTTGTCGACAGGAGGCGCAGCATGAATCGAATCGACACGACCCACGACAGCACGAGCTTCTTCTTGAGGGCGACGTGTAGTTTGTCTAGCATCAGGTTCTACGCACGCACACCGCCATTGTTCGTGGAACTGCCGTCCCCGTTGCAACACGATCTCGTATCTAAATGTCTTGAGATGCCATGACACAAGTTTTCTCGGCTTCTGTTGGCATCTTTTGATTGTGTGTGGGTAATGGTGTCGCGTGAGTTTGGCGCGCCCGCCAATAGCATACCTTTGTCAATGTTTCGATCGAATTACTAGTACAATTTACAGGTTGGACACATTGATTGCAGATTAAACCGCTTTGAATGAAATAGTTTCCAGATCTACTTCGACGCTCGAAGATATTGTAACTTCGGAACCACATTGAATGCTGATTTGGCAGCTTTGAATGGGCAGTGGTGTAGTATTGTACAGTAGTCCCCCGAAATAGGGCACCCGCCAAAACTCTATATCCTCGCAAAAAATATACAATAGTGAAGGAATGCAAAATAAATTCCAAGAGGCATTTTCATATTTTAAACGCACAGCAATTAAATGTTGCAACACATGTCGAGTCGAAACACTAGGCAATCACAATGCCGACACAGTCGACGAGGATGAGACTTACAATTGTGGAAAAGCGTACACTGCTTCAGCACCACATGTCGTATCCCAGCATGAGAGGTACTGATTTGCGCCAAGGGCTCGGAACACATTTGGCCTTCCACGTGTGCCCAAAAAGTCGACAATGTCGAGGTGGCTTAAAAGCCAGGCTGATCAAAAGGATGTCCATCCGTCACATAAGACAGCGCATCTACCGCACCTACCACAACTCGAGAGTCAACTCATGTCTTGGATAAATACTACCTCTGTCCGTAAATGATTGCAACAATCAGATATTTTGAAAATGAAAGCCTTGACAGATGAGTATTTTGAATTCAAATATATGAACGGAAGGGGGAGAGAGAGCTGAATACCAAACACGTTCGCACCAGAATTCAACCAATTAAGTCATCTACGTTGGATTGGATCATGTTCACTCTATCCTAAATAAGAAGGGCTTCTCATTTGTTTTTTCAAATCAACTTTTATCCGGATGTACGGATAACAACTTTTTCCAGATAACCCAGGTATTATCCGTATGATGTGCTCAGAGATGACCCATGATCTCCCTGCCGATCGTGACATCGTTGAAGCAGGACTCCAGCAGTTGGATGAGACTGTCGTTAGTGCGAAGTTCGAGGAACTGGCAGTAGAAGTATATGAAGCCCTGGAGATGTGTGATTTTAGCTCCTAGCTGGAAAAACTGAAAAACTCATTGTTAGCGACAAGCTTCAGGAGGAATCAGGTGTTGAATTGGCCCAGCTATTGGACTTGAATATATACTTCTCAGTACATATTGCAATGTAATACTTTTTAAGATAGGTATTGTTGCAATCATTCATGAACTTCAATATTTTCAATTGTTGCAATCTTTTTCGGACAGAGGTAATAAGTGCGAAGAGTGGAAGGTTTCAATCGCTCTTTTGACTATATATGACCAGAATACTGATGCATCAGGTTTGTAAAGCATACACAATTTCTCACCAACTGGACCAGGCGTGAGCGGACCGACGATAGATAAGCATCCGCAGGATGCTGGAATTATCCAGGCTTTCAAGAGCAAGATTGGCGCATTGAGGGCTCTACACTTGGTGGAGAAATTCGACAAATTGGTCGAAACAGCAGATGAGTTTGACAAGGAGAACTTTGCACCTCGTGTGAACAAATTGCACGAAGTGACCTTGTTGCAAGCGTTGGAATGGACCAAGGAAGCCTGGCAATTTGTCACGCAAGATACAATGTGTGTGAATTGCTGGCGCCACACAGGTATATTGAATGAAGAGGTTTATGAGTTGATTGATAGTATGCGTAACCTCTAAGGAATGTTAACGTTGTCGTTGATGGTGGTTTTGTCTTCTGGAGGTTGCCAGGTTATCAGCCCTTCCTGATTCGAATATGATGTCCATTTTTCCATCCATTTCCAATACCATATGATTTAGTTCGACCAATCCGATTACAATTTCCCATCTAAAATTCCTCTATGACTTTATACTAGTACTTGTCTTGAGGTAATACCCCTAAAAACGTATTGGGAGCAAAGGTTCCCTATTCCGGGGGACTACTGCAGTGTTTGTTGTAGGATTATGAGTGTAAATTGGAAAGTGATTGATTAAGCCGATGTAAGTTAGACTTCGAGAATGTTCGCTTTCTAGAAACTATGCATTAGGCAGCGCTAGGGCGATGTGGCTTCCATTAGCTTTCACTTGCGCAAGGCTCATGTAACATGCAGAATGGTCAGATTATGTATGACGTGGCCTTAAGGCGATATTTGATTTGTGGATCAAATATTTCACGCCGATGTGGCTCAACAGGATTCTGGTGGTCGTGGCTTCGCATGAAGTGGGCTATTTTCTACCTATCATCATGGATATGAACCTCAAGTCAGCATTTGCTTGAATATACTCCAGTATATATTGTCTTTTTCAGTGAAATTTGGACTTCTGAGTCGATTTGCTGAATCGACTTGCCTCCAAAAATACTAAAATAAGAAGTATACCATACAAAACTGAATACTATTGATTTTTGTGATGAACTCATCTAAGTCGTTGAGTGTTGGCTCGTCGGGGGACACTGTTGTCTTGCGCCGGTGTTCGAAACCGA